TATTCTACAAATTTATTTATTTTCTAAATAATTCAGCACTATTTTGAATATAAATACACGTATATGATCGATTTAAATATTCTTGCTTCATTGTATATTGTTATTACAAGTGTAGGTATTCTACGTGATATGAAGATTTGTAATATGTGAAATTAGATTTTGGTACTTGTCATCAATGCAAGAAAATGGGTTCATTTAGGTATTCCCAATTTGTGTTGGTATTATGGTTTTGTATAATGTTTTTTTTTTATCTGAGTTGTATATTTAAAATCGAAATCTCATTATATTAGATCTAACTATTTAAACATAATTCCAAAGATAAAACTAAAAATCATTGGACTTTATATAAGATACTGCAAAAGTTCTGAAATTTAAGATTATCAATAATTACGTTGTCACTTTATCGATCTACTTATTCTTCAGTAATCTTAAATTAATATACAAAGAATGATCATTTATTGAATGCTGATTCTTAAAGCAATTTCGTTTAACAATAATAAACTCAGTATACTGGTATTTATTAATGTTTTTCTGTTAGGGTTATCAGATCGGGTAGTTAACGCCTTATAATTACAGTAAATAAATTTGAAACTTGATACCAGATAAATTTAACGCAATAAACAATTAGATTTGTTAATGACTTGATAAATAATAAGATTTCCAGCTGATAAAATAATCAGAGTAAAGAAAGTAATATTAATATTTATATTTCCACTGGAGAAAAGAAATATTAATGTCTTATTTTATTCTGGCTGTGTAGATAAAATTACCGGGTTATTAAAACCGCCTAATAAGATGTAAATGTGTAATTTAGACTTACTATCTTTAATAAATTGGTTTGCATCTTTTATGATAATAGACCAGCTAGTATAATCGTTTGTTTTTATAAAAGTCAAATAGTATAATTTTCAAAACCGCCACAAAAATTCATGAATAATAGGTACATGAATCATCGATATTACAGATAATATTAGAAATTGGTAATCAAAGTTGATGTCACAATAAAAATAGCCACCAAATTTTAATGGTATAACTGTAGGGTCCCTAGAGTTCTCTAGAGTTCTCTAGATCTAAGCTAGTATATAACGTACCCGTTTGAATAACAGAACCAGATGAAAATTTAATAAATTTCCAATATGGGAAATATCTGTCTGATAATTAAAAGTTAAACTTATAAAGCAAATGCTACTTTGTATATCAAATGAAGTAAAACCTGCATACACAATAGCGTAGTGACCGTCAATTACATTAAACACGAAGTTATTGCTGATAAAATATCCATCATCTGCATTAATAGTGCCAGCACCACCCACATTTCCTTCATCATTATAATGTTGTTAATTATAAATGGACCTACAAAAACCATTAATTATTAATACTTACGTGGATTCATATTTTGTCCAGTTCAAATAAGTAAAATAAGTGGCATTTGTATAAAAATCATCATTGTTTAGTTTTATTGTAGTCAAAAATCCCTTTAATAAATAATTATATGGTGATATAGACAATAAAAATTCATTCCCTCAGTTGAACCATGTTGAACGTAGTGAATGTGTTGGTTCAGGCAACGGAAATTCCATAGATGAATAATCTTGGTTATTTATGATATATAAATAATAAAATATACAATTATACGCAGAATAATTAAAAATATGATAATTGAGGTAAATATAAACCTTGATTTGAAAGCGCCATGCCAATCCTTAACAATGCCATGATATCATGTAATAAATTCACTTATAATATATTAGTAATGCATAGTTCTTAGTGTCTTTACACATCATGTCACTTTCAGGTATTGTATGTTGAGCAATTCCTCATTTGATTGGTTCTTTCCAGATAGCACTTTCCTTAATGTTAGATCTAAGGATTAATTTTAGTGCATTCTCTTTTAATGAAATGAACTCATCTGAATCAAATAGTAACTCAGGATTCTTGTAAATTATCTCCAAATAATCTATCTTAAGTTCATCGAATTGGTCATTATGGACAGCAAAATGGACCATTTTAATGGTACTCTGTTGTAACAATTTATAACTATATTTGGTTAAAAAGTCATAAATAAAATCGATAAGTTTTTGAATTAAAATTTCATCAGTAGCAACTAGAAGAACTAAGATTATTTTGCCTTTTTGGTTTTCCAAATCTAATACAGAATCCTATTTTTTTTAAATATATACAATATATAAAATTAGAATCTTAAATGGTTGGTTTAAGCTTTTTAATATGTTACTTAATAATAAGTTTAAAAATCAAATGCACTTATATTAGGTTTATTAAAGCAAAATAACCATCATTTCTTTTGGCCTATTTACACTACGAAAATAAGATGATGCATGTATCACTGATCTTGGACTTTACAAAAAAGTAAAAGAAGGAAAGATTTGTGGAATTCTACTGTATATAGCACCTTAGATTTTGATGGGTCAACCGTACACTGAAGCATCAGATATTTACAGTCTTGGAGTTATCGCAGCTGCGGTTTTGACTGGGCAAAAAGCATTTGATGAAATTTTGTTTAATGCCAATCTATAAGTGCAGAAAATGTTAAATAGCTAAAATAAGGAGCAGTCTTTATTATTTGATTTATCTTTCGACACAACATAGATAATAAGCTAAAAATTAGCTTTACTTAATTTTTTTCATTATTACTGTAGCAAACATCACTATGTACAACATTTGTGATTTTATTTTTTAATACATATTTAGCTAAAACAATAAGCACAGTAAGAGTAGATATATATTGTATCACTATTCTTGTAAACAATACAATGATTAGAACCACATAAGCTAAAAATCTAAACAGTTGTAATGATTGAGATTTTGTTTAGATAATTTTAACGGTTATTTTAAAGAAAAAAATTATTTATTCAGCTTCTTGCAATTGTTAAACTTGATCTGAAATATCATTCTTAAAAAATACATAGGGTTTTGTAGTGTGAATATTATTTAGAAAATCATAACTAATTAGACCACAGTTGACATCAAATGGAGTACATTTTTGTCATGAATAGATTTCATCAGTCATAATCCAGTTTGGCCAATTGGTCCCATCATATAAGCATACAAACCAGACCAGGATCTTGAAACTTTAATAATTTTTACACCATTACCATATTCAACAGAATAAGTAGTATGTAATTGCCAACCTTCCTTTAAATGATTCAATTTTTGTATTTACTATCTTTGTTTCATCTGTGGTATTTTTTATATTTTGAAGCCAAAGATATGTCTACATTTGGCAAAAATAATCCCAAAGATGTCATCATTGACACTGACAGATATTATATTTATTACAATATCTGTTAGTAATAAGTAGTAAAGAATACATACCTGCCGCTCTTTTCTTGTATGATCATAATTTATTGTGAATTTGCATATTACAACAGGATACTCAACAATGGGTATATAGAAACATCCTGGATATTCTTTCATAAGTTTTTCATATTCTTCTGATGATATCTCATTTCCATATTTCCATGAATAAGTAATATATGGGTTCCTTTTGATAAATCAAGAGATTTAGATTCGATTAAGTGACGATATACAATTGTATTTGTAGCAAGCTCATCACCATCTGGATACCACTCAGGATCAATAATGTAATCAAAAACTAGACCATACTCATGAACATTCATTGTTGGAGGCCAAACAAAGTTTGCACCAGCAAAGTCTAAATAAAAGAATAAATATTTGATTAAGCAAGATCAAATTTATTACACATTATAAAATTTTTTCCATTCAATTTTGTTTTCTGTAAATCTTTTGAGCTCCAATCTTTCTGCAAATCTTTCTAAGTCTGGAATTTCATCTACATCATTATTTGTAACTTCAGGCTTTGAATAGAATTTGAAAATACAGTATGATTCTAAAAACAAGAAATGACTACCTGAAATTTTCTGAGGTTTTTTTTTAAATATTTTTGACAACTTGGAAATCCAGGCTATGCACATTCTGTTTATGAAACATATATTATAAGTTTTTGAGAAGGAACTGTCCTTTTAAAAAAATGATTCAATATTTGTAAAAAAAATTTTTTACAGATACATACGTATGTATTGGCCACACGATGAAATTATTATGTAATTAATAAATTGCGAGCATGTGATATATAATTAGTCAGACATTAAACTTTATTAAATGATTTTATTGAGAATGCGCAGTATACATGTGCAATTGATGTACAGACTGAGACGGGACATGCTCCCAAACCATTATTGTGCCAGGTAATTCCCACACTGTATAACGCAGGCCGACTTTTGATATGAAGCTTTTGAAAATACCACAAACGGCAGGATTCTGCCTGAATCCTACTCCGTATTTGCGTGATGCAATCGTTGCATTCTTCTGTATCAGCTATTTTATATTAGATCTATTGGTGAAACTAATGTTATTATATTCTCACGCTGTTCATAGAGTTCCCAAAAAAGGCAACTGATTAAAAAGTACTCATCTGAATTCATATGCTCTTACGCGCCCGTCAGCTCATTGTTTTCCCAATTCGGTCAAAACCGAAATACCGATTTCGCTAGTATTAGTATCTTAATCTGCACAATTAGCAAGCCGTGACCGGAGTATCCCTGCTTATCTGTCTTTTCGATTTGTTGACTTTTCGTCACCTTGAATAACGTGTCACCAAAAGAATCTAAAATTCTTTCAGAATTACAGAATTAACACGTCACCCACAAGAAATTCAGTCACGTGATCTTCCGAAATTTTATAAATTCATTATTTGCTTCACGATGTTACGCTAATGTTTATGATTTTTTTCTTGAACTCATACTCGGTTGCTTGACATACTGCAAACTTGCATTCCTATATACAGTAAATTCTAGCTTGCGTAAGTATATGCAGCTCTTTTATTGTAATTTTGAAAATTGACTGCCAATAAATTTATCATTCTTAATTATTAACATTCAGACTTCACTTTAATTTCCACTTTGATTTTTTGTTTTGATGAATATCAAAAGCTTTTTAATCAATTATTTAAAATAAGCAATATGAATATTTGATTATTTTATTCGAAATAATGATCTTTGTAAATGACTTTATATAGTCTTATATAGTACTACTTATATAATTTTGTTCAATTTGTATTAGTGATACATTTAAATAATCTTGACATTGGTGACTGTTTCATTACGGAATTTGAGTAGAGTAATTGCTATGAATATGGAGATGGGATTGATCAAGATTATAAAAAAACATTTGAATACTATGAAAAGGCTGCCAGTATGGGTGATATCGGAGCAACGATTAATAATGCTCTATGCTATCGAAACAGTACTGGTACAAAGAGATATTCAGAAAAAAATTATTGGTACAGAAAACAAGAAGTAATTAGAAAAATTAAATCACCAAATCATAATAATTTTGAACTTAAGATGAAGAGAGGTTTAAATTATATTGGATTGATTATAATGTTCACAATTGTCCTCGAACTGGGAAACGGAGGATTCGCAACTGTATATAAGGCACGTCGATCCAATACAATTAATGATATATGGGAAAATGTTGCACTTAAAATTATTCGTGATTCAAACAAAATTTGCAAGAATATATCCAAAAATTGGAGTTTCAAGAAGTGAGTATGGTAATTATATTATTGCTAAGCGGATTGCACAAAAAGGTATGTTACGGAAAAATCTTGAAGTATCACAATTAGGATGGAAAGAGAAGTTGAATCTTTTGTACTATATAGTTTTAGATCACTGATCTTGGACTTTCTAAGAAAGTAAAGGAAGGAAGAATTCTGCCACATATAGCACCTGAGATTATTTACAGTCTTGAAGTTATTGCGACAGAGATTTCGACCGGACAAAGAGCATTTTATGGAATTCCATTTGATGACAATCTTAGCAATTATCGGTGGATCAAGACTTAAATGTTGAGTTGTAATATGGCGGTTTGCAAAAAAGGTAAGATCATAAAATCAGCCGATTCTAATATATTTTTCTATTGTTAGAGATTTTAAAGACATTATTGATTGAACGTTAGATAAATAGATAATTAAAATCTCAGAAATTTTTCCTCTATCATCTTCACGAAATCACAGGGTCACACCTTTTTGCAATAAATTAGCTATGAATTGCATTGATAAACGATCTACTGCAACTGAAATTGATGAAATAATCGCTCGTTGGTTGGATGAAATAGATCAGGATGATAATGAAATCAAAAATAATTTTGGAAGTAAGGTTAAACTAGAACCGATTCAACAAATATAGGATATTCATAAGAAATACTAGCAAGCTATATGAAAAAAATTTACTAATAATATTAGAAATCACTAAGTTCAGTAGAAAATTCTCAAATTTAGATTTAAATTAAATTATGTAAATGTGTTTATGTAACATGTACTTAGGAGTTACTATGAAAATAATTTTTTCTTAGATATTAATAAATTTCTACATAATTTTATTATATTACAGAAATAAATATTTTCTTCTCACATAATCAATGAATTTTAGATAATTATTAGATTACTATTTGTGTTTAATGGTTTGTTCCTTAGGTAAGATTAGAGATAGGCACGCGCGGAATCCCACGCGTGATGTGCGGGATTTTTAATATGACCCCAAATAAAAGAATTAATATAATTTGTCCCTCATCGAGGGTGTTACAAATGAAAAACAACTATGGGTTATCTGCCCCTCCCGCTTTGTGATATACAAACTAACAGCGCAGAACTCAATAGTATATTAACCCTAGGTGCCGCACAAAAAATGCGCGGCAGATCCTCGATTTTGATTGGCTAACGGCCGAAATTTTGACCCGCATTACATAATTGTTTACTAATTTCCGGCCGGAACTAACTTTTAATTTTTTTCAAAAAATAAGCCCGCATCATGTTAAAATTAGTCCAGGAACAATTTTCACTTAATGGGCGGCTGTGATTTCATTAGTAAAATTATGCGTAATTCCGGCCTAATTTTTTGATCGTCGCTCTTAGCCAATCAAAATCGAGCACATTTTTTGTGCGGCACCTAGGTTCAATCGAAAGTATCGAAATGTACTATCTAAGCTACTGTTTACCATAAGCGTTATAGCGATGGCCACTTACCTTGTGAACCAGAGTAGGGCTGTGAATCGATTCTATAATAATCATTTTAATCGTTAATCGAATTAGAATCGATTCTCATTTCTGTATAATCGTTTTAATCGTTTTTTAAAAACGATCGAATATTTTGAAATCGATTCTAAGATTTAGAATCGATTCTAAATATATAATCATTTTAGGGGGCTATTTTTTATACCCCTATATTTGTTATTCGTACCCCCTCTAACGTAAATTCCCGATATCACGTGGTCACGTGAAGTGATTTTAATACGATTGGACAATAGCATTGTACAAAATACATGATCATTGAACATCTATCTATTTTTGCACGGGTCTTGTGTAA